AAAAAAGATAACCCTTAATTCTAGCTCTTATTGCATGGGCAAATCATTTATCCCTAGGTTAAGGCTTAAAAACAGAGTAATTTATTCTTCTGTGGTATCTCTTTCTGCAGTTAGAAATTCATTCTGACCTGATGGTGAGATGCAGGGTAACAGATGCAATCTTTGGATCAACCAGCTACAGCTTTTGTGTTAACCAGTCATCAGGAAATATCACTAAATTACTGGAGTACAAAACGCATCTGTTGGAAATATGTTTAAGTCTTTTGTGAAATAGGATGGGAAAAACATTACTAGAATGGGGAGTGGCTTTAGAAGCAGCTGTGCTAAACAGCGAAGTGCGGACTGTGTGAATGAGCTCTTTTCAGAAATCCGAGCAGACCGAGTTGGAGTTGGGTTCGTGTGGCTTCTCTCCAACTGTTTTGTTTCTCTGACTGTTGCATAAGTGAATTCTGTAGTTTGTTCGGGTTTTCTGTCCGTTTGAAGTCTGCCTGTGTGCAACTTGGTGGGCAGTCGCCTAAATGCACGTGTGGCTTTCCAAGAGTTAAAGCTTGCAGGTTTTTAGTTGCTTATAATTCCAGATTTAGTCTCGACTTCACTAGTTATGTTCCCTCTTTATTTTTGAAGGAATGCTGCCTTAATGTCTGCGTTCAAAAGGAAAGCATTAAGGCTATGAATCAACCCTTTAACATTTGCTTAGCCTTCAACTTTGATATTTTATTAATTTGTTTTAATGGCATAATCCATGTTGCCATGAGGATGCTTTTCAAGGCCACATGTCTGCTCTTAGAAACTGATGTCCTACTGTGTTTTATAACAGCGTGTCCTAATTCTAAAGTTGCCTATCATGTACCCCCGACACAAGTGCTCCCAGCCTTTCCCTTCCTCGCCGTCTCACGCTCTCTCTGCACAAGTGCCACGAGCTTCACTTACCCCTTCTTGAAAGCGTAGTGGCAATTACAGCGCCAGAACTTTGCAAAGCATTGATGTGGCACTTGAAGTGGGAGCCCTGAAGGAAGATAATGAGTTCTGTGTTACTTGTTAACACAGGATAAAACGTCAGTTGCTTCCAGCACTCGTGGTAATGAATCCTTCAAAAATTTCAAACTGAAAATAGAAAAAAAATCTTTTTGCTACTGCATATTTTGGACTTTGGTTTTAGGAGATGTAGAACACTGGTTATTATTTAACACGTGTAGTATCTGCATAATATTTCTAAAATTAGTCAGTGCTGGGTTTAAAATGGGAATTGCTTTCAAGTGGAGTCAGGATGTGGAAACCTTTCTCTGTATATCTTATTTGTTATCTCGTGAGACCAGTTTACACAAAGAATCTATTGAACAATTTAAAATGTCGAAGCTTGCTCGCCTTCAGAACAGCTGTGTCCAAAATGGGGTTTGTGTTGATGGGAAACTCTAAGCTTTCTCTAGAAGAATGCACTAAACCAGTGTGTTTTTTAAAATCGCATCTGTATCTCCAGATCAGTTTTTATGAAAAGAGCCATTTGTGAAGACGGTGTTTTCTTTCAGGGTTAAAAAAAATCTGCATGCTGCCTCCTGAGAAAAATACCGAGATCTCTGATAACACAACTTTTTACATATAGATTACTGATATGTTTAAAAGGCAGAAATTTATCAGAGATCCAGATGTTCTAGTTTTGCTTATTAACCTGTGTATGCACACCCTTAGGCTTTCTTTTCACACGTGGACTTGCCGAACATAACATGCTTATGGTACTCTCAACTCAAAATACCTCTTTTTTCTAAATGTTGTCTTTAGACAGTAACACTCTGCACTTCTGTCATTGATTTAAGGCTCTCCAAAGCATTAAGAATGTAATTGCATGGAGTCTCATTTGCGTGGTAGACTAGGACTAGTATTTTGTCCACCTGTAAACCAGTGATACTTAGCGGTGCTTAGGCTGCAGACTGTGTCAGAATCAAGGACATCAGATAAATATGTAAGGGCGCTTTTTTTGTTGTTGTTTTTCATCATTGTGGTACAAAGTCTTGTGCAAAGATGTATTTATGCTTTACGGGAATCCTTGTCCTAAGGAGTTTGCATATTGAAGGGATGAGTCAGTGTAAGAACAGAGCAGTGGCACAGTGCAGTCTGTGCAGTGCTGCGTGATCGGAGCTGCTCCTGTGTTTGCCCTCGCTCTTTATTCTGCAGAACGAGGTGTGGGGTTTTTTGGCTGGTGGGAAGTTGTGTTTTTTCAAGCAGAATATTACAGCGGAGGTCATTGTCTGGAAGCAGAGTCAGTTAATTTGAGCTTTCAATGGGGAATTATTTTTATAACTTGCTACACCTGAAGAATGAGTTATGTTATCTTACTCTTCCGTTTAGTTTTCTGATGGGGGAGTGTATTCTCTTCTAAACCTCCTCTGACGATACATGACTCGAGGGTTGTTTGAATGAGAACAAATGTATAATGGATACCTTTCGCAGCAGCCTCTTGCTCCCGTGTAATCTGTTCCAAAGATCATCCATTTAGCTCGCATTAATTCAGTTCTGTGATGAGTTTCTGTAAGCTGCAACAACCCTGCCCATGCCAGACCCAAGCTTGTCACTGCTCCAGTATTGTCGTTTTATCACTTGCTTGACAGGTGTGAATCCAAATTCTGATTTCACAGTTAAAAGATTTTATGTATTTGGGTTGGGAAGTCAGTACACTGCTTCCTCTGTTTTAGTCCGTTACAGGATTTAACTTAGGATATCCATGCGGGTCTGAGGGTTTTTTGCAATTTATTATGGATATTGATAGTGTCTACTACCCTGGCTTTGTTAAATCACTGTTTGCAGCCACAACGTTGTGTGTAAGGGCTGAAGAGGTGAACATATATTAAGGACAGACTGTGACTTGTACTATAATTCTAAAATTTAGAATCCTCCTTCTAGACTATGGCGTTGGTTTTGGGTCATAATTAACACAGCAAAGTTTTATCCAGTCATACTAACCGTATCTTGTTATCATTGCTGGATTCTCTTTACAGAGAAGAAACTTTTTAAAAGCTTGTTGCAGATGGTGTTCCATCTTTAAAGATAGTGAGATTAAAATGTGTGTCCAGGATGGCTTGAAAAAAAATGGGCTGGTGGGGGGATATTGTCACAACCTTTGTGGAATGGACAACGATGCAGTAAATTGATGTCTTAGTGATTTTGATTCTGGTGGAAACTTGGTACAGCTGTGTCTTAAAAAGCCTGGAAAGACTATTTATAGTAACTAATTTCTGCAGATAGCAACAAATTCAGCATGCTATCACCATCTTTGGGATGTTTCCTTATTTGAAACTGATGGAATGAAACAGAGATGTATTAAAAATACAACGTATAACATAGCTATAAACGCACTCAGTTGTAGAAGTATTTGCACTTACTGATATTGCTTCTTTTGTTCTTGAACACCTTTTTCATCTCCAGCTCCTCCTTTAACCTCAATTTGAGTGAGATTCTCTCTAGTTTAGCAGCTCTCAAGCTGGAGGGAGAGTACAGAACTTAGTTTGGAGACGGCGAATGCTGGCATCCCAGCCTGCTTCCTTGCAGGGCTGTGCTGGAGCCTGGGGCGGTGGGGCAGGAGAGTGAGCCTGAAACGCCTCGGCTTGCCCTGCCCTGCCTCCAGAGCCAGGCAGTTCCAGCTTCTGGGGTGAAACTTGTGTGGGCTAATTCTTCTCTTCTCCCCCACCCTGGAAGGGGTTTGTGCCTGACAAGAGTTTACCTGCCCTGCATTTACGCCATCGTGGTAGTTATTCATGTGAAAACAGAGGAGATGGAAGGGAGCAACAGGAAGCGGAGAAGAGCGAACAGGAGGAGCCGTGGCAGAGGGTGAGCGCTGTGACCGGGGGAGCCGGGACCCTGCCTGGGCATCCTCTCCCAGGACGGCCGGCAGTGGCTCCTGCGGCGTGCGGGCGGCTGCGTTCAGACTTTGGTACAGGTCGTCTGTGGTTTTAGAACACTTTGAGTGTCGAACTTCCAGAAGGGACGTATTCCAAGAACCTAAAACTTTCGCAGGGTGTTGTTTTGCTTGTATTTGAAAAATTTCAGGTTTATATTTCCCTGCTTTTCCACTATTCAGATTTTATTTGAAATGAAGTATTGCCTTCTAGTTCTCCTGGAGTCTTTAGCAAGATCTTTATTTTATCAGTTACTCGTATTTTATTGTGAGCAATAAATGAAAAGTAGTTGGTGCTATTGAATTTCATTAAAGCTTTGTGTAATAGTACTTGCATCAAAAATGCAAAGGGCAGGATCTTTGGGTTCCATTATTTTGCTCTGCCACTAGCGGTCATTTTAGCATACACAAAAATATTTTAGAAATGTATTCTGAAACAATTTTTTTATTCTTTAAATGCTAAACGTAGTCATTGAATATTATTGTGAGAAATCAATTAATAGTGAAAATCCATAGAACCTCCATCTTTTTCCTTCTATTTCCTTACTTTACTGTCAGATTCATTTTCTTTTATTACTCTCAGCAAATCGCAATCTGAACTACAGCAGTCAGCTGGTCTGGGCTAAAAATAACTAGGAACCACTGCCCTCTATATTGTGACTTTACAGCCTTTTATTTGTGGATAAGTTATAAGGAAGAGTAACTTTTACGATGTGCAATCTAGGAAAGCTCTGGCACTCTTTGGGGAGCACGTAATGCATTGGAACATGGCTTAAGTTTAACGTGCCTGAACAGCATCGTGTGCTGTGTTGTTTATCAGAGTAAGGGATTCGGCGAGCAACCTAGTGCTGTGTAAGTGCGGTATGTGCTAGATATAGCTGAAGTACTTTCTGGTAATAGAAGATTAATGTGATATGAAAGAACCCCCAAATTTATGAATCCCTCCAAGCCTTTCCGGTGAAGTGATGGTGTTTCCTGTTGTGCAGTGGGGATCGGAGGTGGGGAGAGGCGCCCGTGTGTGAGCAGGGCATTTCCTCGGGCGTTGCGGCTTCTGTCTGTGCAGTTTGACCTTCTCCGGTAGTACAGGTGTCGGTGTCAGCGTGGCTTTGGCACCATGGCATTCAACAAGCTGTGGAACCTGCCTGAGGAGCTGTCTGGCACCCAGTCTGCGCTGGACCTCGCACTGTGGGTACCTGAGCGTGCCCGGGGTCTCTCGGGGCAGAAAGCATCAGTTCGTAGCGCTGCTTAAGGCAGTTGGAGCAGCACGGCCCCCAGCCTTCAGTTGCATTGCTTTTATTCCTTTAAGAATGGATAAAAATCTGAAAAAAAAGATCATTTTACTTACAATCTATTTTGTTTCTCTTATTTAAATAGGATACTTAAAACATTTGGGAACTGACACTTTCAAGCCATGCCATTTTTAGCTTGTAAGGAGAATTTCTCACTTTTCCCCGCAGAGCACCTCTGCCAAGGGAAACATACTTCATGTTTTAAGTGGTAAAACTTTGAATGTCTTGCATAGGAAGATCTAGATCAAACCGCTCCACCTCCCCCAGACATTAATTATTACTCTTTCGAAATAATTAACTAAGGACTATTGATACTGCCAGCCTCATCTTGGTACCAGATAAGATCTCCTTGGGACTTGGAATGTTTGTTTCTGTGCAGATAGTTCTGGATGAGCATTAACTGTGTGTGTCATCTGGTACTTCCTCCTCGTTAAAAATGTCAGTGGATTATTTTACAGGGTTACCCGTTCCACTTACGAAATTGTAAAAGGAATTAAAAAGATGATTTAAAACACTTTGTTTCACTCCTGTTAACACTCTTAGAGGTGTTGGTTGTTGGAAATCATTAAATATTTGATTGGATGGTACATTCTCTATGATATACTGTTTGAATACTGCAGCTTGTTTGGTTTTTTTTAATATAAATGTTTTCCTTTCTTTACTTTTTGTCAGTTATCCTGTAAGTAGGTTATTTCAAGAATGTTATGACAATTAAACATTTGTTATCCTGAGTTTAACTGCAGTGGTAATAAAAGCTGTGCATTGAAGCTTGCTTTGTGTTGACCATACATAGAATATTTTGGGGGAAAAAATTACTTACCAAAAACCAATCTCAAAATAATCAATTTAAGAAACTAAAAGAAATGCAGTGCTTACACACTGATGTGAATGAAGGAAATTGGGTTTTATTTCTGTGGTGTTATCACTATGTGGAAAAGTTCCCAAGGTCTCTTCCTGCTGTGATTTATTTTTCCGTTGTCTTAGTCATTTACATAAGCTTAGGTACAAGGTAGTTAAATTCATATCTTAGGGCTGTTGAAGCTCACTTTGTCTTCAAAACATTTCAGAAATTTGCTACAGAATACTCATGTATGCTAGATGATAATATATATTTAGGTAGAATATTCCACAGCTGAAGCTCTTATTCTGTGCTCAAATCTAGGGAATAAACTCATCAGTTGTCTCTAAAGTTAAATTGGCTAAACTAAGTGCTGTCATCTCTCGGCTTTTTTTAATCTTTGAGAGTTTATTTAAATTCAGGTTATTGTGTAATTATAGAATTTAAGTCTGAAATAATATTCATTTGAAATCATGATGTAATCAAACTTGAGTCACATTAAAAGAAACACATTTCCCCCCGATACTATATTTTTAAAATTCTGAAATGTATTAATTTATTTCTTGATTACTTAATTTTAAATAACATCAAAACCTTAAAAGTGTTTAGAAGTGAAAATTTCCTTTGTATTAGATTTTGGTGATCAGCCACTGATTTTTGACCCTGTGGTACGTTGGTACATTGTTTATATAATATTTTAGTATAGATACTTTTATTTTTATATATTAATTGTAGCTGTAATTTCTTCTCTTTGATGCACTTGCTGGGTGGCCTAGAAGTGATACATTTCACAATTTAAATGTAGCAAAATTTTGAAATGAAGGATGCCAAAAATAGCATTCTCCTGCTTGAACGCCATGTGCCGGGGAGGTGAGGGGTACCCCCAGATGCCAGCTGCTTGCAACGTGTTTGATGTGCTTCGGTTTCAACCTTTTCATTTTCCCACAAAATTAATTAGTCTTTTAATTCCTATATAAAAGAAAATTTTATTCCTGCTAAAAATAGCTGTGGTGCTCATCCCCTTGACTGCATTTTGTTGAGTATTAGGTATCTCTCCTGGCTGTTCTGTATGATGCTTATTTTTAGGGCCTCTATTAATATCTTTAAGTATATGATGTAAGAAGACTAAGGCAGTATTAAATTGGAAAACTTAATTATTATCTTTGTAGTTTTCACTGTTAAATGTAAGTGGAAATCTATACCAGTGTTCAATACAGGAAGTTTTAACCAGGAGAAGCTGAAGTGTGTGAAACTGAAGTATGTGACAGCGTTTTTGGTATTTAAAAAAGCATGCATGTAAATGAGGGGAAGGTGTCTGCATTCGTGACCACTTCCATTATGTGTGTATGTTGCACTGTTTGGTAATTTATGTAGGAACCTACATGGCCAAAGTAATAGTTCCTTGAGCCAACAAATGCTGATTAACTAAACACCCTAAATGGAGAGGTTTCCAACCAAATACTCTATATAATGCTCTCTGCATATGCAGTGTAAAGGTTCTTGTAACTATGGTTATGCTGAGCTGTGTGTCTCCTTGACAGTGTTGCAAAACCTTAAGTTTCTTAGATGATGTGCTCTAGATTTTTCACCAGATTCTGCCATCCTTAAAATAAATAAATAAATAAATTTTTAATAGGGAGCTTATTAACCTCTAATTATTTTAACTGAAAGACCTGAAAACTTTGTTCTTTCTTTTCAGCAACAATTTTGGAAACATAAATTACCTTTCTGATAGTGCTACCGCTTGCTTTTATCCCATACTGCTTGTTTCCTGCTTTTGTGATTGTTGTGCTCTGCTGGAGTTGGCTGACAGATACTGAAGGTGTTTTTTCATTGAGCACTTGAAGACTACTGTTGTAGGTTTAAAGTACAGTCTGTTATTTCAGCACTGATAATGCTTTTTATTTCTGTCGTGTACTTTTTTCTTTTTCATTTACAGTGCTGCTAGTGACATTTTTATCTCGGCAGTACTTACATAATTTGTGGCAGTGATCTTATGTTAATCTGAGGACAGATAAGTATATATTTGTCGTTAATGAATTTAGGATGAAAATTGCAGGTCTTCTGACTATTGGAAGGCAGTTGCCCTGGAATAGCTTTCCGAAGAGATTAGCAGACCAAGAAACCAAGTGATTTTAATATGACCTTCCCAAAAGAATTGTGTCACGGTTGCCAGTAGGAGCAAGGAGCTGGATTCAATTACCCTTGGAGGTTCTTTTCAGTCCTCTGTTCCTAATTAAGTAGGATTTTGCTATTTTCAGCTAATAATTTTTTATTGAGCTAGTAAGTGCCGATAATATGAGATAGAAAAAATTAATTGAAACTAAAATCCTATGATTATAATATATAGAATCTGCTATATTAGTGGAAATACAAAAACACGACATGAAGACTGAAGCACGAATAAAAAGGCTCTAAGGTTTTTACCAGATTTCGTATGTTTTTCCTCCTTACAGGCTGTCACTGTGTCAAAATCTGTTTTGGAGGGTTTTTTTATATGATGCATTTCAGTAATCTTCTTGTAATCCTGTGATAAACTGCTTAGTTTGATGGAGAATGTTAGACATTATTGGTAAAATAGTTGGCCCCTGTGAAATCAGTTTCATTTTATGACATGCTTTCAAAGGATATACTCTTAACAGCTGTGTAGCTATCCTTGCATTAACCTAATCAACCTCTTGCTGAGAAAGGAGGTATGTCCTGGATTAAATTCTTGAAATCAGGCCGTTAGGAACAATACCAGACAATTTGCACGATTTTAGAATGTTTACTCTTTTTATATATATTCTGTTTTGTGGCAAACCTTTCTTATTTATGTCATTTTATCTTGTCTTTCATTGTGGTCTTGCTATGTAGACCTTTTCTGGAACAATGCTCTTGGTTATTAAGAGAATCTGAAGTCTTGCAGGCAGGTAAAAGCTGCACATATTTGTCTCCTTACTGATTTCTTTCAGGTCTTCTAAGGAAAATAAGTACCTTCCTTAACTAGTAGAAGGACAATTTTGGGATAAATGTGTCTCAAGAGCTTGTAATAACCCTGTACAGAGGTGTTAAAAGCCCATATTTGAAGTTATTTTCTATTCGTTAGAATACAGCATGCTCCTTAATTCGGCTTTGATGTTTTCTTGCTGGATTTTTTTCAGTCCTTTCATTTTCTTATGCCGATTAGACCTAAAATGAGTATGTCTCCTAGGTATAATGAAGGGAGCGTTCTCGTTCCTAAATGATATTGGGGGGGGGGAGCAGAGTAGTTGTCTAAAGACTCTCTTATCTGTGCAGAAATCACAGACAGGATTTAAACAGTTTGCCAGAGCTTTTTTTTCACCCAATCTTATTTCCTATGTAACTTGTTTCAAGGAATACTTTTTTTTTTTTTAAAGAACTCCGCATTTAGAGAGATGCAGACACTCCCATCCATTGGTTACATTAGAGATGCAATAACAAAACTCTGTGCTGTTTTGAAAATGCTCAGATTTATGTGGTATTTGAAAAAGAATTGCCCTGTATCTTCTCCTGCACTGAAAGCAGGGTCTCGGGAAGTTTGTCACTCGTGTGCCTTGTGCTGGTAGCTTCAGGCAAAGCTATTTTATTTTACTCACCTGCACTAAAGGTGTCTGAAAACAATGCAGAATTTGGCAGTAATTTGTAGAACTACAGCATCGCTTGTGTTGTGATAACTATTCTCAATTGTACAAGTGGATTTGAACACTTACAGCGTACTTAAGGTATTTTAGAGAAACTCAACCTGTGCGAGGATTTAACCCAAATAATAGCGTTAAGCCATTGCTTTCAGTAGCAGAGGTAGTTTGACCTAGTTCTGGGTTTATAAGTCCAATGAGTGAAGTCCTAGAGAACATCAAACTTTATGTAACCCTGATGTGTGGTTCTGTTTGTGGGACTCCTGGGAACATGCCTGGTGCTTTTTATAAGCAGCTTGCCTCCCTGTAATGGATAGCTGAGATAAATCTTGTTCCTGGAGCGAGGCTGATATTGATGATGACACCAGTGTATGAACAGGAGCTCAACTGAAAATCCATTTTAATTTCAGGCTCCATTAGTGATACAGAGAGAAATCATTATTTGTTAAACAGAAAATAAGAACTGATAC